AAAACTTTTTTAAAACATTATATTTTATGTTTTAAGCACGTAGGATGATCTTGCAAGTATTTCCACGAATTACTTTCTGCTACAACCTAAAACCAGGTCTAATTCTCCCAACCTCTGAAGAAATAGAGAACAATTATCCCTTGTTAATGTGTCCCGTGCTCCTCAATTTTGAGTGTGTACAGAAATCACTTGGGGAGCTAAATGCAGATTCCTGTTCAGTAGGTCCAGGGGCCCAAGATTCTTAATTTCTACCAGTCTCCACATGATCTGGAGGACCTCACTTTGGGTGGCAAGGATTGGACTGTCCCCACTTCTCATGTCTTTGCTATTTGACCCTGCCCTCCTTGCTATCGTGGATTCACCCAGGACAGGCACCTGACTCAGGCAGATCAGGGTGTTCTCCTGGCTGCAGATGACTCCTCGGGATGGCCACTTGACTCAGAACAAGCTCATCAGAGCTCTTCTCCAGGACTTTTGAACCCGAAGTAGGGAGGATGATTAATGTCTCCATGGCAGCAAACTATCTGTTGTGAGGCTCAGGACTGGTCTCTGTCCATTGTTTTCCTGCTGAAAGAGAGAAGCTGGTATGAGATGATGAGGCCAACAGGCCAAGAAATGAGCATATTCACATCCTTAGCATTCAGAGCTCTAGGGCCAACTTCACCTTTGCAGTGTTATGTGAGTTTTTCCCAATAGCCTTCCAATAAATAAGTAAATAAATATGCAAATAACTTATTTGAATTGGTTTTCTGTCACATGCAACCAGAGTGCTGCTTAAAATACTCATACAATTAAGATTTTAAAAAATAACTTGTTTCATTTGATTCCCTTTTTTGGAACTGGGAAAAAACCAACCACATTCATTGTAGATTTTATACACAGAATCTATTTTCTAAATTTTTGTTTCTTGCCTATTGGTCTGAATCTAGTATCGTCTAGAGCCTGGAACATAGTATTTGTTGACATGGATGCCTTTAGTCATTGTATTTTATTGTATGACAGGCATCATGCTGGAGACTGGGACCACATAGTCCCTGCTCTTCCAGTGACATACAGTTTAGTCAGGGAAACAGACAAACTAATTTGATGTGATGAGATGTGATATCATATACATAATTATAGGAGAATAAGGGGGAAAGCACTATGGAAGAGATTATACCTTATATAAGTCTTGAAGGACAAGTAGAAAAGAAAGAAGGAAATTCTAGTCAAAAATTGCCAATAGACAAAGGCATAATGTTCCGTTTGGAAAAATGTGAACCCTTCTGTTTGCCTAAGGCAGGAATTGTAGAGGGCAGGTGGCTGTACTGGGAGGCAATGGGGAAGTACCTAAGCTACAAATCAAGGAAGGTCCTGAATAAAAGATTTAGGACTTTACCCTGTGGGGGGATGATAGTAAAAAAGCTACAGCAGTACAATTTCATGCTGTAGAATATATTGGGATCTATCAGAATAGAAATAAGGAGTTCTGTAAAAACAGAGATTGCAGTCTTTGAGTTAATCAGTTATTGTGTAAAGTTATAATGAGGTAAAATAAAATTAAGGTCAACTGATTTTTTTCTTTTTTACTACTTACTGTTACAAGTATCCTATCTTTCTTACATTTCTTTACACATATATAATGCAGGAATTGTTATAACATTACCATTTTACATATGTCTCTAAGGATAGCATATTATTTCATCTTTTCAAAATCTAAGCTGAGATTCTGTCTTAACAAAAGAGTTTAACCAATTCACACAGGTTTAATGATTTTTTAGAAATTATTTGCCATCTTTTTCCATTTCACATATTTTTTTGTGTGTCTTCTGTTCCCCTCCTTTCCTAACTTCCATCGAATAGATTAAATTTGACACTGCTGGTTTAAAATGACACATTATGATTTTTGTCTTCTGATAAATATCTCAACTTATTAAGATCCATTCTTATATGTACTATTTATTTATTTATTTCTCATAGTAATAGAATTCAAACACTTATCTATATTCCCCTTATCCCTTTCACTTCCAACAGAAATGCCTTAGCAAGCCTTTGTCTCTAACTGGATTCTAACAGCAACCTCCCTTCTGTTGGCATTTTCTAGTTTAAATTGTGAATTAATAAATGTTTGTTGCTTTATTTATTGCTTATTTAAATAATAAATTTTACTAAATTATTTATTTCTCATACCTTATTATTTTTTATTTATTTTGCTTCTTGCTGGAGGATTTCCTTCAAGAGTGCTTCCAGAGTGTGTATTAGATGGCCTGAGACTAACCTGAAATATTAAGTTTAACTTTTTTCTTTCAACACTTGGAAAATCTTATTCCATTTCTTCTTTCACCTAGGGTGGTTGGTGAGGAGTCTGGGCTGGATGTGTACTTGGTCATCATCAGTGTACAGAGGATAAGCAAAACCATGCGTAAGAGTGAGATCCCCATATGGAACATAGAGAGAAAGAAGAGAAGGGAGCCAAAAATGAACTCTTGGGAAGAGTCTACACTCAAATGGGGGATAAAGGAAGAGGCATTGTGAACTAGACTGAGAAGGAACAGCCAGAGACTTACAAAGATCATCAGGAGTCTGTCTCCCCAAGAAAAAAGGCAGTTTCAAAGAAGAGGGAATGATCAACATCAAATATTACAAAGAGGTCAAGTAAGATGAAGTACTCCAAACTGGTCACTGCATGAAACACTATATCTAAGTTACTAGATTCTCTTTTTTAAAATGAAAAGGGATTAGAGTAAGAAGGCAGTAGAGAGGGAGATACAGAAAAGAGAGTGGACAAATGATGTATACAAGTCACTAGTAGCAAGGAAAGAGAAACTGGTTTCCAGATCTACCTCTACAAGGCAGGACAGGAGGCTTAGCACAAGGAAGCTAGGATAGATTAAACACACGGACAGAGAGATCCAAATGAGAAGGAGGAGGAAATGTAGTCTCACCCAATGAATCCCAACCTATTTATACCCAGGTTCTGTGTTAATGGTGAAATAAGTCAGTCAGAGAAAGACAAGTATCACGTGATCTCGCTTATATGTGGAATCGAATGAACAAAATAAGTTGACAAACAAAATAGATCCAGAGACATGAAAGCATGCAACAGACTAAGGATCCTCAGAGGAAAGTGGGGGGGGGGGGGGCGGGGGGGGGAGATCAACCAAAGAACTTATATGCATATATGTATAATCCATGGACACAGATAATAGTGGGGTGAAGGCCTGGGGAGAGGACAGGAGTGGAGGGAAAAGGAGGACATCTGTAATACTTTAACAATAAAGATAAAATTTTAAAACTAGTTAATAACTCATAATAGAATTCAGTGTTGCCTCCAGAAAATTACATAAGGATGAGTAACTGCTTTGCAATTCAAAAAGAAGCTTTCGTCTTTTAAAATGAAAATATCCCAAGTATTTTTTCCATGAAATCATAGACCATATTCCTGCCTCAATAATATTAATCCAAATCCTCTTCTCATGAGAAAAAAAATTGGCTATTATTACTCTATTAGCATGTTACTGACCCACGATTTAAAAGTCCCATGATAAGAGACCTCTGTGTTGCCATAGTTAATCAGAAGTCTGACCCTCCCTGAAGAATTCAGAGTTATTCAGCTAAATTCTTGGAGAAGAGAAGAATCTGAGATGAGATGTTAAAAAGAAAAAAACCATAACATTAATATCCCATTTTCTTGACTTGCCATATTCATTATCTCTGTGAGGAATACAAGATACTTCTCCCGTTGATAAATTTAACATAGGAAAGGACAAATCTCATTTTTTTGTGGCTCTTGAAAAAGTGTTACTCATTCAGCTGTGAACTCCACCCTTCCTTATCACAGCAATAAAACATCCATTTGAGACAGAAAGAAAGTATCCTCCTATTTGAATTTTTAGTTTAAAGATATTTTCTTTCTATGATTCTTTTTTTTTTTTTTGGTTAGTTCTCCTTTGAGTTTCTAATGAGTTCTGGATAATTTTGCTTTAGGACTAGACATTCTTAATTTATCGTCACAACTCCTAAAGTGACTCCCTTCCTCGTTTTTTAGAAAGTCGTATTATATTATTTGTCATATAAAACAGCATTGCCTTATTGTGAAGTAATTATATCCATGGACACTAGGGTAGGAATGCTGGGTACAGAGCCTGACTCTGCCATTTATGAGCTACTCGATCTTGGCAAGTTCCTGAAACTCTGTGTTCCCCATGCTTAATGCAGATCATATTCTCTTAACCTTAGAGAGTTGTGGTGAGGATTAAGTGAAAGAATCTCTGCCCTGGTTGGCACCAAATAAATATTATCTACTAATATTATTCATTCTGCTTTCAAAGAAACCAGTACACTACCAGACTCTTTTTTGTTGTTGTTGTTTAGTTATAGTCCACATTCTATCAGACTTTTTTGACATGCTTATATAAAAGCTAATTCTATTCATTATTTTCTGGGCAGGAGTTGTTAAAATTTTACTCTAATAACTTTATCAATTCTTCCTTAATTTATCAAAGTACTTAAAGTTTTTTAATTTATATTTCAAAGACATCTTACCTAATTTGGTATTTACATTTAATAATCTTACATTTTCTTCCATTATTTATACTTTTGGTAAATATTTAAAATAATTAAGTTGCTTTGTAAAACTGAAAAAAACATTAGCATCATTTCTTCTATTCATTTCATTATGAAATTTTATTAATTTTCACATTGTACTCTACAGAAAATACAAAGTATATGTTCATATTTAGGAAATTAAGCAAAATTAGAAAATATAGAAAAAACTTCCCAAGTAAAAAATTGAGAATGTATTTTATAAAATGATCGGATTACTTCTATTTTTCTTATCACTTTTACAGTAACATACAATAAAATGATTACGTAAGTTCAAATATTTTGTCTCATATGTAACATGATCTTTGTGCAGTCTACAACCCATAATCAGCCCCACCTATAAGGATTAGGAGTATATATACAAAGAGAGAAGGGACTAGCAAAGCCCCTTCAGCCAGATCAACTGGAGAGGAGCAATGGTGTTATTCAGAAGTTTTGTCTGCCTCTTAGTCCTATACCTGCTGCAGGGGTCTGATACTTCCTTTGTTCGGCTGAATAACAATGGCTATGAAGGCATCATCATTGCTATAAACCCTGGTGTGCCAGAAAATGAAGCACTAATTGAAAAAATAAAGGTAAGAAAGTAATGGGATCTTCTTCTGTTTGAATTCTAGAAAAGGAAAAAAAGTTAGTAGTTAATAAACATTACAGAAACTTCTGAATGCTCCAGAAAGTTTGAAAACAGCATGTGCAGTGGGGGCAGTGGGAATTGGAGGCTGTACACGGGGTTCTCCACTGTCTCAACATAAGACCAAATACAAGGCATAGGACCTCCGTGACCTTGTTTCTTCATGTGTAAATGAGCAGTTGGACTTGTCTGTTCTTTGTTTTTGTTTTTTTAATGTATTGATTTGAGAGAGAGGTGGGGGAGGGAGAGAGAAATATTCACATATTTGTTGTTCCACTTATTTATTCATTCATTGGTTGATTCTTGTATGTGCCCTGACCAGGGATTGAATCAGCAACATTGGTGTATCTTGACAATGTTCTAACGAATTTAGCTACCCAGCCAGGCCTTGGACTTGTCTGTTCTTTAAACAATTATTGAATGCTTATAGCAAGACAACAGTGAATGAAAGAGCCCCTTCCCTTATGCAGTGTAAATTCTTTTCAGATACAGATAATTAAACATGTAAATGTATAGCAGAACAGTTGGTGGTGAGTTGCTATGGCATAAAAATAAACCAGCAAAGTGGGGTAGACACTGTTGGTCAGGGTGGGATAGGGGAAGAATGTCGGGAAGACAGGGAAAGCCTCAATGTTGATGTGACCTCCAAGCAGAGACCTGAGATGAGTGGGGGAGGAAGCCCATTGAAAATCTTGGGTACGGAATAGAGGAAGCAGCAGCATGGAGGTGATAGCATGCTTATTTGAACCAAGGAAACAACTGTAAATGAGCAGGAGGAAGGGTGGGAGAGCTGAAGTTGGAGAGGTAGCATGGCCCAGGCCCATGGAAAAAATTGGGCTTTTACTCTGCGTGGACAGAAGGATTCTGAACAGAGGAGAGGTGTGCTCCCTCATACATGTTCTAAAATCACACTGACTATAGTGTTGAGGAAACTCAGTAAAAAGCTTCCACTTGTCACTAATCTTTTATAAGCTCTGCACAGCATGGAGGTGTAGAGGGACATCAGGTAGGAAGCTGTTGTAGAGGAGAAGTGATGGTGATTAGGAACAAGGATATTCTGGTAGAGATCTATAAAGTGGTGTGATTCTGAACATATTATGATGGTGTCATAGACAAATTTTTTGATGATTTAGATGTATGTGGAGTAGGGGAAGGTAGGAAGGAAAGATAGGAGTCAAACAAGACTTCGAGGGTTTTGGCCTATACACTTGGAAAGATGGGAAAGATCATCTGGCAGCTGAGATATCAGGAGCTAGTTAGGTATATTTTGCATTGAGATGCTTATTATATACCCTCGTAGATGGAGATAGCAATCAGAGTACTGGAGGAAAATCTGGGTGCAGATAAAAATTGGGGAGTCATCAGTGTGTAGGTGATATTTAAAGCCAGGAGAACCAATGAGTTCATTAGGTAGTGTGGACAGTGAAGAGAAAGATAACAGAACTGAACCAAGAACTGTATTTCTAAAGGTTCTTTCAATAGTAACATTCCTTGTAATGAAGAGATTGGTGTTATAGCCATGTAGATTTCCCCTGTCCCTGACATCAACATCTACTAATTCCTTATATTCAATTCCTCCTGTGGCCTTATGCTCACTGTTTTAGCCTTCTGCATGGATACTGTTATCCAGCAAACACTGATAGGCATGACCTGAATTGTGAGCAGGTGATTCTGTAGGTGCCATTTATCACTCATTCTGTATAAACTCTTTAAAGTATATATTGATTTCAGAGAGGAAGGGGGAGGGAGAGAGAGATAGAAACATCAATGATGAGAGAGAATCATTGATCAGCTGCCTCCTGCATGCCCCCTGCTGGGGACTGAGCCTGTAACCCAGGCATGTGCCCTGACTGGGAATCGAACCTTGACCTCCTGGTTCATAGGTCAATGCTCAATCACTGAGCCACACTTCCCAGGCTGTATAAACTCTTGTAGCATAGTAAAAAGTCACTTACTGATACCTTTTGAATTCCAGGGGAAGATGAGTATCCATTACTAAAGAACACAGGCTTGAATAGCAGTTAATGCAGCTGATTCTGAATGATGGCTTCTTCGTGTCCAGGGACAGTAGATCAGTTTCAAATACTTCTGAACCTCAGAAATCAGCATTTGGAAGACTTATTTGTAGGGGTAAAAAGAATTGCTAAAATGGTCCTCTGCTGAAAACATAGCTAAAAATTCAATTGTTAACAGACATTCCTAGATTACACAATGTTTCCTAACATTCATTCAGTCCTCTACAAAGTCCTTGCATTTACAATATCAGAAAAGCATGTAAAACACTATCATCCATATTTTACAAAAGAGAAAACTGGGGTTTGGGGAAATTAAATGATTTTTCAAGGTTTTCCTAAGTAGCACAATCAGAGCAGAGATCCAGTACATACATAGGTTTTGAAGACTTACAAACCGGAGTTTGAGTTCTGGCTTGTGTAAGATGACAAAAATCACTCTTTTTATGTAACCAGTGAACCAACATGTGAACATAACTTTACTCCTGGAATAATATCTGATCACGATAAAATTTATCATGAATCAATTCATAATTTATGACATGAGATGTCAATTGTCAACTTTCCTTATTCCTGTATTTATGTCTTTTTAGTTTGAGAGTATGTAGTTTTGGAAACACTGATATCTTAATCTTCTTTAATACAAATATAATACTATAGGAATTCTGAGAAACAATTTAGAATGAATATTATAGGAATTCTGCTTGAAAAACTTGAGGGAACAATTATCAGCCACCCTACTATGCTCCAGGAGATCACAGTCATCTGATATAGGGTCTCTGAAATACCTCCATGACCTGAGAACAAACCACTATTCAAGAATGTCTAAAGGACCATGCAGACTCCAAGTAAATAAAATCCTCTGGAGTTATACAATGCACAGTCCACACAACTGTATATTAACAACCTTACATTTCCAGTTGTTACTATAATTCAGACCACCATATATACCTTTTAAAATTTTTTGAGATATAATTGACATATTATATTAATTTCATGTGTACAATGTAATGATTTTATATTTGTACTAGAGACCTGGTGCACAAAAATTTGTGCACTCAGGCGGTGGGGGGCGGGTCCCTCACCTCGGCCTGTGCCCTCTTGCAGTCTGGGAACCCTCGGGAGATAACAACCTGCTGGCTTAGGCCTGCTCCCCAGGGGATTGGGCCTAAGCTGGCAATCAGACATCCCTCTGGCAGCCTGGCAGCCCTCGGGGAAGTCCACTTGCCAGCGGGGAGCAGGCCTAAGCTGCAGTCAGACATCCTTAGTGCTGCTGAGGAGGCAGGAGAGGCTCCCACCACCACCACTGTACTGGCAGCCGTCAGCCTGGCTTGTTGCTGAGCAGAGCTCCCCCTGTGGGAGCACACTGACCGGCAGGGGGCAGCTCCTGCATTGAGCATCTGCCCCCCTGGTGGTCAGTGTGTGTCATAGTGACCAGTCATTCCCAGTCGGTCTGCTGTTGGGGTCAGTTTGCATATTACCCTTTTACTATATAGGATAGAGGCCTGGTGCACGGGTGGGGGCCGGCTGATTTGCCCTGAAGGGTGTCCCGGATCAGGGTGGGGGTCCCGCTTGGGTGCCTGGCCAGCCTCGGTGAGGGGCTGATGGCTGTTTGCAGCTGGTCACACCCCCTTCAGGGTGGGGGTCCCCCACTGGGGTGCCTGGCCAGTTTGGGTGAGGGGCTGAGGGCCGTTTTCAGGCTGGCGGGCGACTGAAGCTCCCAGCCTCTTTTTTTTTCTTTTTCTTTTTATTCTGGGATTTATTTACCTTCTATCGCTGTCACTGGAGCTGAGAGCCACCTCCAGCTCTGAGGCCATGGCTGGCTGAAAGCAGGTATCTGGGTTTGTTTAGCTTCTATAATTGAAACTCTGTTGCCATCACTGCCACTCTAAGCTCTGAGGCCGTGGTGGCTGAAAGCAGGTATCTGGGGTTTGTTTAGCTTCTATAATTGCAACATTGTTGCATCCAGAGCTCAGAGCTGGACCGCGGCAGGCGGGGAGCCTTGGCTTCCTCCATCACTGGAGCAAGCAAGCCTCATGTTCGCTTCAGCTGCGTGGCTGCCAGCCACCATCTTTGTTGGCAGTTAACACTTGGAGTGCGGGAAACGAGTTAAGTCGGCTCGCGTGAATTGCGCGTACTCCGCGGGAGCCGTCTTTAACTCGGTTCATATAGATTTGCGGTGGAGTGCGGGAAACGTGTAAACTCGGGCCGATTGTAACTGCGTATTACCAAATATTTGTTTGTAATCCACCCTTTTGGTGGATGGAACAAAACCAAAAGACAGAGCCATCTTATATTTTGGCGGGAAATTCACCCGCACTCCAAGTGTTAATTTGCATTTCCTGCTGATTAGCCTATGGGAAGTGTAGCGGAGGTATGGTTAATTACCATGTTTGTCTATTATTAGATAGGATAGTCACCAAGCTATGCATTTTATTACCATGACTTATTAATAACTATAAGTTTGTAACTTTTGACCCCTTCACCCACTGAGCCACCTTTCCCACCCAAAAGCATCTGAAAACTACCAATTTATTCTCTGTACCTATGAGCTCAGTTTTTGTTGTTGTTGTTTTTCTTTTTTTATTCCACATATAAGTGAGATTGTACCATATTTGTCCTTCTCTGATTTATTTTAGGCATAATGCCCTCGAGGTCCATCCGTGTTGTTAGAAATGGCAGGATTTCCTTCTTTTTAGTGGCTTAATAATATTCCACTGTTTATATATACCACATTGTCTTTATCCATTCATCCATATATGGACACTTAGTTTGCTTCCATGTCTTCGCCACTGTAAATAATGCTGCAATGAATATGGGGGTACATATATCTTTTCAAATTAGTGTTTTTATTTACTTCTAATAAATAACCAGTAGTGGAATTTCTGTATCAAATGTTAGTTCTATTCTTAAGTTTTTTCTGGAACCTCTAGACTGCTTTTCATAGTGGCTGCACCAACTTACATTTCAACCAACAGTGCACAAGCGTTCTCTTTTTTCCACATCCTTGCCAACACTTATTATTTCTTATCTTTTTTATGACAGTCATTCTTACAGGGGTGAGATAAGGCCTCTTTGTGGTCCTACTTTGCATTTCCTTGATGATAGTGATATTGAGCAACTTTTCATGTACCAGGTGGCCATTTGTATGTATTCTTTGGAAAAAAGTCTCTTCAGATCCTCTGCCTATTTTTCAATTAGTTTGTTTTTTGTTTCTTTGTTTGGGTTTGTTTTTGTTTTTTTGCTATTTGGTGTAAAAAAAAAATTATTGCCAAGACCAATGTCAGAGAGCTTATGTTTTCTTCTAGGAGTTCTATAGTTTCAGATCTTTAATGCATTTTGAGTTAGTTTTTGTATATAGTGTAAGATAGTGGTTGAGTATCATTCTTTCACATGGGTATTCCAGTTTTCCCAACACCATTTTTTTTAAATTAAAACAAAAGTACTTTTTCAATCCTTACCCGAGGAAATTTTTAGGGAGAGAGAGTAATATCAATATGAGAAACATTGATCAGTTGCCTTCTGTACATGCCTTGACCCCTGACCTGGGATTGAACAAACCAACAACCTTTTGGTGCACAGGACAATGCTTAACCAACTGAGCCACTCCTGGTGGGCCACAACACCAATTATTGAAAAGATGGTCCTTGCACAAGTGTATATTCTTGGCTCCTGGTCATAAATTAATTGATAATATAAGTGCAGGTTTATTTCTGGACTTCTGATTCTTTACCATTGAACTATGTGTCTGCTTTTATGCCAATACCATACATTTTTATTACTACTGCTATGCAGTATAGTTTGAAATCAGGAAGTGTGATGATTCCAGCTTTGTTCTTTCAAATTGCTTTGGCTATTCAGGATCTTTTGTGTTTTCACAAAAATTTTAGGATTAGTTGTTCTATTTCTGTGAAAAAAAAATGGCATTTTTCATAGGGATTGAATTGAATCTGTATATTGTGAAAGGGCGAGGGCTAGGCCCTCCACCTTGCCCCAGGGTAAGGGCTAGGCCCTCCACCTTGCCCCAGGGTAAGGGCTACGCCCTCCACCTTGCCCCAGGGTAAGTGCTCCATCTTATCTTGGCCACCTGCTTGGCAAGGAGCTTCTTCCCGGAAGTCTAAGCCTCTACTAGCCACACCCAGGAACAAGACACAGACTTGTGCCTGGCCAATCGGCAGAGCACAGTCCTTTCTCCTCCCCTTCCTCCAACTCCCCCTATATAACCGGTCTCCACACAGAGTTATCTCTCTCTGCTTCCTGTCGCTGCGTCGGCAAGGTGGGGGAGCCGAGCTAGCTCGAATAAAGACTCTTATGCTTTTGCATCGGACTGGCTGGCTCCCTGATGTGGTTTCTTGGGGATCCTGAAATCTGGGCATAACATATTGTATTGGCTAGTATGAACATTTCAACACTATTGATTCTTCTAATCCATGAGGAAGGAATAACTTTCCATTTATTTCTACCATTTAGATTTCTTTAATCAACGTCTTCTAGTTTTAAGTGTACAGAAATTTCATCTCCTTGGTTAAAATTATTCCTAGGCATTTTATTCTTTCTGATGCAACTATAAATGAGATTATCTTAATTGCTCTTTCTGATAGCTCATTATTAGTATATATAAATGAAACATATACTTTATATTGATTTTGTATTCTATAACTTTACTGAATCCATTTATGAGTTCCAACAAGTTTTTTCTGTGTGTATGTGTGTATTCTTTAGTGCTCTCATATATAATTTCATACCATCTCCAAATAGTGATAGTTTTATTTCTGCCTTTCTGATTTTGATGTCTTTTATTTATTTTTCTGGCCTAACTGCTCTGGCTAGGACTTCCAATACTGTGGCAAGAGTGGGCATCCTTGTCTTGTTCCTGACCTTAGAGGGAAAGCTTTTATTTTTTCACCATTGAGACTTATATTAGCTGTGGACTTGTCATACATGGCCTTTATTATTTTGAGGCACATTCCTTCTATACCCACTTTGCGGGGAGTTTATCACAAATGGGTGTTGAATTTTGTCAAATGCTTTATCTGCATCTATTGATATGATATGATTCTTATTCTTCATTTTGTTAATCAGGTATATCATGTTATTTGATTTGCAAATGTCAGACCATTCTTGGATCCCTGGAATAAATCCCAATTGATCATGGTGTATGATCATTTTAATGTATAGTTGAATTCAGTTTGCTAATAGTTTATTAGAGTGTCATAGATAATATTTGCATCCATATTCATCAGGTATATTAGCCTATAACTTTCTTTTCTTGTGTCATTCTTATCTGGTTTCAGTATCAAAATTATGCCGGCCTCATAAAATGAGTTTGGAAGTGTTCCTTCCTCCAATTCTTTTTTGAATGTTTGACATAATTTGTCTGGTCTTGGACTTTTGGGCAGGGGAGTGATTACTGATTCAATCTCCTTACTAGTAATTGGTCTGTTCAGATTTTCTATTTCTTCATGATTCAGTCTTTGTATGTTGTATATTTCTAGGAATTGTTTCCATTTCTTCTAGGTTGTCCAATTTGTTGGCATTTAATTGTCTCATATAATCCATTGTACTTCTGTGGTATCAGTTGTAACATTTCCTCTTTCATTCTGGTTTTATTTCAGTCCTCGTCCTTTTCTTCCTGGTGAGTTAAATCACCATTTACATTTTTATCCCATAGGCACAAGAGAGAGCAATCACTTCAAGCAGAAGATAACAATCCATTGAGACCTAAATATCCCAAAACACAAGGAAGGGGGTGGGAGGTGTATCCTTAGGGAACAGGTAGAGAATTCTTTCATCTGCTTTAGGCTAGTGATGAGGTAACCTCCAACCTACCACAGGAGCTCTTCAAAGCTCTTTTCCTGACTCCCAGCTAGTCTTCTGGGCCTTCAGTTCTCTGAACTCATGGCTCTGAACCCAATCAGTTTGCTGTTCTTTTCAGTACATGTGAATCAGCACCCTGGCCTGTCTTCAACAGGAAATAAAATAGAGCCCTGGAATTCCTGAAGGACAGTGCTATCCTGGGCTTATGCTAGGTCAGGAGTATCACAGAGGACAAGATCCTTCCTTGAAAAAAATATCAGTATAGACTGGGATGTTGCCAGCAAGATGACGAGGTTGACATCATCATCTAGCACCTAGGATTGCTTAATTATTCAGTGGGTTTGATCATGTTAAAACACCATAAATCCCTTTTATTCATCTATTTCCCCCACTACATAGTAAGCTCTAGGGTGGGACTATTTCTCTTATTAATCATTGCATTATGGGGTTCAGGATACTGAGCAATATGGGATGATATTATTTTCACCTTGATAACAGAGGAACAAGTTATGTCTATGATCAAAAAGCTCTACCTATAAATTTTTCCGTCACCCCACCCCCAGGCTCCAACTCAACCAAGCTGCTTCTATTAGGGGAATGGATGTGTAATAAAAAACCACTCCTATGACTCATGTCTACACACTGTTCTAAACTTTCATCAAATAAGGCTATTTTCTACTAGATTTATGAACAGTAATGATATCAACAGTTTTATGACTATGTGTAGAGCACATGTTTCATGCTTATGCCAACCTTAAAGGTAGGTAGTAATAGTCTATTTAAGAGATAAGGAAATTGGAGCTCCAGTGGCACAATCGGTTAGCGCGCGGTCCTTATAAGAGATAAGGAAACTAAGGTTCAGAGCATTATTTAAGGGGGCCAAAACCTATCACCCAGAAAGTGCTAATGCCAGCATTGGAAACAAATAGATGACTCTAATGTCTATCATAGTATGCAATTTCTCTTAACACTAAATAGAAGCATTTGCCTTTCGATGCAGAATTAAACCCAAAACCTTTACATGTGAAGGATTAAGCTATAATTTTGGACTGAAAGGTGGCAGGGTTGGAATTCTAAGGCAGAGACTCTGCTCACTGGTCAGTGGCTTTTTCTATCCACTCTTGATCTGAGAAATGCCTGTAATGAACCTCTGCTCATTCAGTTCACTGCCATATATTTTTTTATAACAGGACATGGTGACTGCAGCTTCTACTTACCTATTTGAAGCCACAGAAAGAAGATTTTTTTTCAAAAATGTATCAATATTAATTCCTGATACTTGGAAGGAAAAGCCTCAATACAAGAGACCAAAACATGAAAGCTACACACATGTAAGAATAAAAAAAGTATCTTAAAATATTATATCTTCTGGTGCTCCTCCATTGAACTGCAAATTGATTGTTTTAGAGTTTTTTCTGACTAAATGTTATCATTTCTATTTCTGATGTTTTAAAAATCTTTTTAAACATTCTCAGGCTGATGTTTTAGTTGCACCACCTACCCTGCCAGATAGAGATGAACCATACACCAAGCAATTCAAACCCTGTGAAGAAAAGGGAGAATACATTCATTTTACCCCTGACGTTGTACTTGGAAAAAAACAAAATGAATATGGACCAACAGGTAAGAATTAGGTTAACATATATTTTGCAATGATTCCAATAAGCAGATGTGTACCCAAGTTAAATGTACAAACCCTAGAGCCAGAATCTATAGGTTCAAATCCTGGCTCCCCTATTTATCAGCTCTATGTGACCTTGGACAAGTGAGCTAGACTCTCTGTGCTTATTTCCTGTAAAATGGTGAATAGAGGAACTACTACTGTATAGAATTGTTGTGAATATTAAATTAGGTAATCCATGCACCTGTTCTCAGTAGAGTCTACAGAGATTTGAACACAGGGCAATAATAATAAATATTTTTCTTAAGCATACTTTTCAAATCTTAATATTCCAGTTCTCCACAGCTGGATATTAATCACATGCCACCTTAATGGAAGGCAGATGTGTGAAAAGCTGAAAAGAGACAAGATTACAGTTCCTGGCCAAGAGAAAACACTCAGGGGCTGTAATTGCTGATACTATTATTCAACTTATTTGGTTGAACTAGATGTACCTGTCTGTTAGTAATCATTTTTACCTATAAAAAATGGTAATTTCATCTAGTTCAGTCTAAAAGTTAAGGTCCTGGGTCAAATGAACTTAAAGCACATCATTTCACATATCACTACACAGGAAAACATTCCTGAACCCACATACCCCAAGATCACCTCTCTTCCACTATCCCTTCAATGAGCATTCATTAAGTCCCTTGTTTTTGTCAAACACTCAAACCTGGTTCTCATTACCTGTTTCCCAACCAGTCTTGAAAGCTCCATCATCTCATGCCATCTGAATTTTAACTCTCCTCATACTTTAGTCCAATCACATTTCTTCCTCTTGGCACCTCTAACCTTTGCTTCCTTCTAACTATAATATTTTCTTTACATGGCAGGTCCAGCAAAGTGTAAATAGCTCAATTCCCTCACCACTCTTATCCTTATGTTTCATTCAACTTGCCAAATCCTCTCTACTAAATTTCCAGCTAGTTTATTTTTGCTCCTGTTAATGTTTTCAAGATTGTGAAAGAAAATTACAAAGCTAATCGGTATCATTACAAAAATACATTTTTCAAACTTAGTGAAGCCCTCACAGCTACTCAACAACGTTGTACTTGCATCTTCTCAACTCCCTTTCTCATTCCTAAGCAGCTGTTCTAAAACTTGTACCATTTTTCTCAAGATCTGTAGCCACTTTTTTTCAATCCCATCAATCAACAGATGCCTTGATTGAGAAATAGAACCCCTACCTTTTTCTCTACTTCCAAATTCATGTCTACCTGCACCTATATTAGAGAAGAAGGATTTTCTCTCATTTTAAAGCTAACATCCCCACTTGAGCTCTTGCTCTTTTGTCATACCCCCACCTCAGCCCTATTCCATAATGGGTAACTTTCCTCCTTATTCTTAGACAGGAGCTTTTCCTATAATGTGATACATGTGTTTGTGAAAAACTCACATGCTGAAAAACAATGTTCTAAAAACAACATGGCTCTTGAACAACAAGATTAAGAAGAGAGTCCTCAAAATATATGCAATTTGTAATAAATATAGTAACAACAATAGCAATAAGTACCTGGAAAGAACATTTAAACAATCTTGGCCATAGCTCAGTTTGGCTGGAAGCTGCCATCATAGTAGATATTAAAAGTACAGATGCAAGCACACAAATGAGAACAGGGCTAGTAGGAATTGAGAAAATGATATAGATGTGAATGAAATTCTGTTAGAGGTGATGCTTTTCCTGCAGTGATGCTTTTCCTGCAATAAAAAATTATATACATTTAAGGTATACAACATGTTTATTTGCTATACATATACATAATGAATCAAGCTAAGTAGCATAACATCTCCTCATATAGTTACGTGTGTGTGTGTGTGTGTGTGTGTGTGTGTGTGTGTGTGTGTGTGTGTGTGTGTGTGTGTGGTGAGATCCGAACTCTACTTTCTTAGCAAATTAAGATGGGCTTGGGAGGCAGGGCAACCTGCCATGAGCTGTGAAGAAAGCAAGTGTAAGAGTAGACCACTGTAAAAAGGAAGCCAAGGTGCAGGCAATTTTATGTTTTCTTAAAATTCACCAAATTTTTATGATCTGAGGAATTTAAGTGATATGAAGGGTATTTTCCCCTCCTATACTGAAGGTTATATATAATTCCAAAATCACTAATCTGACTCCAGTTGCTTAGAAAATCTTACACCAGTGCTTTTAAATTTTAAAAATTAAGAGGAATAACTTAGGGACCAGTTTCTGATTCAGTAGATCTAGAGTAGAACCAAGATTCTGCATTCCTTTTAGCTGTCCCATGAAGCTGATACTGGTGGGTCAAGGAACACATTTTGAGTAGCAAGGACTTAAAGAAGAAAAATGACTTTTGCATAATACTGACATTTTCCTCTAATTTTTGGATCTCATGAGTTCATTTGAGTTATAGAAACACATGGTAGCAGAACAGACTATATTTCCATCTTTTCCTTCTCCATTTCTATTTCATTTGAAGTTTTTCCTAATATTGATAAAGCAAAAAGTCTACTTGTTTTTTCTTTCTGCATTTCAAGCTATGGGTGTACCTTTATTCTTCCATTTACCCTGAAATTATTAGAAAACATTTTTTTTTATTCTGACTCCTTCTAAGTCTATTCTAGTAAAGGAATACATCCTACTCATCTTTATATTTCCTAGTACCTAGTATAGTGTTGAAAATATAATTAATAAAACTTAATTTCATATAATAAATTAATCACTTCATTTAGATAGCCTCAACATTATATATAATCTATAGCTATAGATTTTATTTTTCATTATCAAATGCCTTAGGAACATTTGTAGACATTTTTAAACATTTAATTGTGCCATCATGAAATTTTAGTACCACAAATTTTACCTATATGTTTATGTTGTTAGTAGGAGTGAACTTTGTAGAACCAAAAAACCATTATAATATGTAAGATTTTTGTTCCCCACCCCCATTAACCAAAACCTAAAGCCCAGTCTATTCTGTCCATAGCATATACATACATACACAAAAAAAGTTTCGTTGATTTAACATTATAGAGAGATAATATATTATATACCATATTATAATTCAATATAATGTTATATGCTTTTTTACAAACCAAAATATAAATATTGGCAGTTATTTAAAACCTAAATATAATTATTTTTATTTAAAAACCCATTGCTTAAAATATTTGAAGGGCAAATTTTGTCGCTTGAATTATGATCATATATTTGAAATATTTTCCCACAGACAGACTACTTGTCCATGAATGGGCCCATCTCCGCTGGGGAGTTTTTGATGAGTACAATGACGATGAACCTTTCTACAGTGCTTCGTCTAAAAGAATTGAAGCAACAAGGCATGATCATTTACATTTTCTTCAGTTACTTCAGGCTATCACTTCCTTAGTTTGATTTATATTTATTTGAAATGCCAATCATTCTTTTGTCCCAATGCAGGTAATAGACATTATAACATAAAAACAGTGTCCTTTTAAAAAAAAGAAAATGTATCTAAAAGTGGCTAATTTCCCATTTAAAATACACATAACTTCAAAAATATTTGGAAGCCAAGTTGATATATTTTTATACCTCTCCACCATGGCTACCAGAATTCATTTACATTAAAGTTGGTCTCTGTGTAAAGGGTTGTACTATATGCTGGAAGATCAAAACAAGAATGGAAAAATGGTTAATAAATAGTGGTAACTGCAGGCTGAGTAAAAAAATCAACCAGCTTCAAGGAACCATAACAGAAATTTCCTAGGATTTATAAAATTCACATTAAAATACCAATCTAACATCACAGTTAATAACAGATAATCCTCTTGGTTGTGAGGTCAAGAGTGCAGACTGGGTGGAGGAAATCTATCTAAAATTGTCTGCCATCAGTTTACTCAATCTTAAATGCCCTGCTGGGGCTTGGGACTTATCAAAAATGTATAAACTCTAAGATATATGATTTCAATGAAAGCCCTTTATTAGCCATTGCACCACTTTCAGGATACATATTTTAGAGAATATTACATTGATTACATTTGTTTCATTATATTCCCCTTAAATGTCTAGTTTATACTGTGCAAAATTCATCATGATTGTTAGTAGAGATAACATCATTATATTCACTGAGTTTTGAGGCAATAATAGCATACATATTTGTAGGAGACTCTCTAAATTACTGAATGAAAGTTAGTCATTGTTTTTTTTAATTAATTAAATTATTATTTAAGGTATTACAAATAGTAGTACATATGTCTCCTTCTTTTCCCCATTGACCTCCCCCCGGCCTCCCCTACCCCCCAGCCACTTGCCCTCATCCCCCCCATTGTTTCTTAAATATGAATTGGAAACACATTGGATAGGTGGGATATATTCACACGCCAGCATGTTTGTTATACTCACTGACACCTGTGGCCAATTCCATGTAACAAAACCTATGTCTAAAATGCCTCCACCATTCTTTACTGTCCTAGGCAATACTTCAATCTTTCTTTCAGGCCAAATTTCATTTGGATAAAAATGCTCCTTGAATAATCAAAATACTTATAGTTATGCCACATCCCATTGTTTTAGAGGTAGCTTTGGGGGTGGAGGGAAATCTATAAAGAATTTTAAGCTAAGGTGGTACCAAGAGTAAATGGTTTCTAAGTTATCTTGCCCAGATGCCTGCAATGCATTTACTTCCACAAGGATGCCAGAAGAGATGTTTGGAAAAGGGGAGCCTAGAGTCATCAGTGTTAACAGGTCAGCAGCAACATTTTAATCTCAGCAGATAGCTCAGCCATTACATACACTGGGAATACCACTTAAAATTTCCCTCTGAAATTTCTTAGAGAACTGCTCTGGTAGAAATCCTTACACTTTACTGTCAAATAAGAATAAAAACCTTGATATAAGGATCATTGTGAATAGAAACACTTAAGATTTTCAAAAAGTTGTTACTGGTTAGATTGCCTCAAAGACTAACTGTCACTTATTTTCAGGTGTTCCACAGGTATTACTGGTGTGAACAGAGTTTATAAATGTCAAGGAAATAGCTGTGTATTTAATAAATGCAAAATTGATCCTAAGACAAAACTATATGAAAAAAATTGTCAATTTTTCCCTGACAAAGATCAAACTGAAAAGACATCCATAATGTTTATGCAAGGTATTACTTCTGTAAGTATGTCAATTATTTGTTCATATAGTATATTTATAATCAAAGGGCATGTTATCACGTTTATAAAATATCTGTGCAGGTGACCTGAGGGATTAAATGTATTAATACAGAGTTCTTTGAACATTGACTGGCACATAATAAGTACTCAACTAGTGCTATTTATTATTACTACCATTGAAAATCCACTTTAGTATTCTATGATTCCTCAATGAATCAAATTTCATTAAACAAAACGCCTATTTGCATAGATTTTTTATTTTTATCAAATTTTTAAATGCTTAAATGTTTATGTTTATGTTGAATGTTTAAATGCATATGTAACACTTTTTTTCATCTTATTAACCTTTTAGGTTGTTAAATTCTGTAATAAACAAAACCATAATGAAGAAGCTCCAAGCCTACAAAACAAGAAGTGCGAATTCAGAAGCACATGGGAGGTGATCAGCAACTCTGAGGATTTTAAAAACACCACACCTATGGTGGAATCACCCCCTTCACCTGTCTTCTCATTGCTAAGGATCAGAGATAGAATACTGTGCTTGGTTCTTGATAAATCTGGAAGCATGGGGGTATGTTCATGGGCCCATTTTTCCTAAATATAGTGACTAATGGATGATTGAATTCCTAAGAACACTCTGAACACTACCTTCACCTGGGTTGTTCTAAATTGCATGGTGGGATAAGACCCGTCATGTCCTATGATTACAACCTCAGGATGGGCAGTGAATATTGTAATGAAAGCAGGATGACAATACAGTTGAAAAGACTTAACATGAAAGACTCTTTTTTCCAGAAAATGGAAGGTTTACTGAGGAGAACTTTTAGACCCATTAGTAAAGATTAAGTTAGAAGATCAGAAGGAGAGATTGAAATACAGAAATGTTTTCTTACCCGCCTCTTTGATTTCCTGGAAATACTTGACAGACTTGAGGATACAGTGGATCGCTGAACTCCATTCAGAGTCAACCTTATTTATCATCTATAAAGTGACTCTTTATGATCAAAGATACAAACAAAAAGCACCACCATAAGGAAGCTATGGTCAGATTCAGCCACTTATGCCTTCTATCACTTAGTAAACAGTAGGCATTGTGCTAGGCTCTAGGAATAAAGACCCATATCCTTGAAGGGTTCACAGAGAAAACTTTCCCTTCCCAATTACCACATTAACTCACATTCCTCCTCCAAAATTTGGTACAGGTGCCCACCTCCTGCAGGAGATGGACTGGTCTTCCAGGCTGAGCTAACAGCCCTTTTTCTGGTTTTCCACAATAAACTGTGCAAACCTCTATTCTACATATTATATTGAAATTACACATTTCTCTCCCACTAGACTAGGAGCTCCTCTAGGACTTGGAACCGTATCCTCTAGAAACCATGTCCTCTCGTACTTGAAACCATTTCTTATTCATCTTCATCTCCCTTTTGTCTAGAACAGGGATTATCACATATAGGTGCTCAATAAATAATTACTGAAATGAATGGACTATTAAAGAGCAGGCATAATGTGATAAGGCATCCAGAAGAATGGCACATTTGAGACAGGACTGAGCATACTGAAGACCAAAAAGAATGTATTCAACAAATGGGGGTTTGCGTGGTTACAGAAAGGGCAGAGAATCATCCACAACAGCACAGGGTTTCAGAAAGAGCATCAGTGCTAGACACCAGCACATAGAAGTGTTCTAGGAGGTGTCGTTGGGAATAGATGACAGAGCCTGGTTTAAAGGTAAAGCAAAGTGGTAAAGAGAGCCCTCAAAGATGGGGCTGAAGAAGTCTCTCACTGTGACTTGGATCTAGAGAGTTTAGAAGGAAATTTTGGCATGTGTTAGGGGAGGAACTACAGATAAGTTGGTGTTGAGGGATTGGAAAGGGAAATGTATGAAGAGATTTACTTCCTGGGCATTCACCTTGGTAAGAGGGATTGAGTCTTAATGGGCTACCACAGAACCAATGCCAATTAACCTATTGCTGGAGAAATGTTGGGGAGAGATTAGGAGCTGGGGCTGAAGAAGTCTCTCACTGTGACTTGGATCTAGAGAGTTTAGAAGGAAATTTTGGCATGTGTTAGGGGAGGAACTACAGATAAGTTGGTGTTGAGGGATTGGAAAGGGAAATGTATGAAGAGATTTACTTCCTGGGCATTCACCTTGGTAAGAGGGATTGAGTCTTAATGGGCTACCACAGAACCAATGCCAATTAACCTATTGCTGGAGAAATGTTGGGGAGAGATTAGGAGCAGAAGTAGGAACAGAGCCTCTCAGAAATTTGCTGCAACTCAAGAAACTTTTTAACTTTTGAGTTGTCTAGTCTCCAGTGGGCAGGGAGATCTCAGTCTCTAGTTGGAGTCCATGACAGTCTGGTTTGATATTGTGGGACATAGGGAGTGATTACATCTTGACATCCCAGGAGTAATTAGGAAGTCTCTAAGATGTGAGTCATCACCCCTCAATTCCAACCCAAACCCCAAACCTGCACCTGTAATTTGGGTGCTAAGCAGCCAAGAATCACTTCTAGTTAAAAGCCTGTGTTCCTTACCATATGTTTCATAATACATGTAACTATGTTTTTAAACTTTATCAATTAAAAATTGCTTTCTTTAATGACACCAATTACTAATAGAAAATTCTTATTAAATTCTGTTTACTCATTTTATGTAATCTACTCTTATTTTCCAGTCAAAACCAATTGGTTGTTTTTCTTTTGTCCTTTTTCATTTAGGGTTATAACCGCCTAAATCGAATGAATCAAGCAGCAAAATATTTCCTGCTACAAGCTGTTCAAAATGGAACCTGGGTGGGGATGGTGCATTTCGATAGTACTGCCAACATCAAAAGTAAGCTAATCCAAATAATAAGCACCAACGAAAGAAATATGCTCGTGAACAGCTTGCCTACAGCAGCTAGTGGGGGAACTTCCATCTGCGCTGGAATTAAAGCAGCATTTCAGGTGAAAATCATACTGCATATAGTATAGTTTGTTTTTTATCATGAAAACATTTTTCTATTAGTGCTGCTGCACATACTTACTCACTAATTTTAACATAAATAATTCTAAGAAATACAGAACTAAGAACTTTAAAAAGTCACTTGATTTTCTAAATGGGTCAGTGAATCAATGAATAAACTGATGGATAAATATATTACTACTAGAAGCCCGGTGCATGAAATTCATGCATGGGTGAGGGTCCCTCAGCCCAACTTGCAACCCCTCCAATCCGGGACCCCTCAGGGATTTGGCCTAAACCAACAGTCAGACATCCCTCTCACAATCCAGGACTGCCGGCTCCTAACCGCATACCTGCCTACCTGCCTGATTGCCCCTAACCACTCTGCCTGCCTGCCTGATTGTCCCTAACCACTCTGCCTGCCTGCCTGATGCCCCTAACTGTTCCCCTGCCTGCCTGATCACCCCTTAGTGCCTCTGCCTGCCTGCCTGATCACCCCTAACTGCTCCCCTGCCTGCCTGGTCGCTCCTAACTGCCCTCCCTGCTGGCCTGATCGCCCTAACCACCGCTGCCTTGGGCCCACCACCATGGCTATGTCCAGAAGGACATCCGGAAGATGTCCAGTCTAATTAGCATATTACCCTTTTATTAGTATAGATAAGAATGCCACTAGAATATAAGTCCAATAAAGTCAGGAACTTTATGGTTTGTTTACATGTTCTTTTACCTTGCAATAGTCAGTGCTCAGTAAATGTTAATTAAATAAATGAGTGATTGAGCATCAAAGTCATCAACTTTTAAGGCAATGAAACAAGTTAAATGGTGTGATTCTACTTTAGGCCAATCCTCATTTCAGTCTCTGTGACACTCAGATAATCTGAAGTTTATCTACTAAGCAGATGTAGCAGGGACTGTTAGTCATAGGGTAAGGAATACTGGTGAGAACATGAGTTTTGACATCAAAGTACTGACTGCTATTTACCAGTTTTGTGGTCTTAGGCAACATTTTCAGTATCTTTGACTTTCAATGCCTTATCTACAAATATAGGCAAATAAGAATGTCTACTTCATAGGATTATCATGATAATTAAATGCAATTATATATTTACATACATAGAATAATATTTATTATATTACACAGTAAATATATAATTTACAACTATTATTATAAACCTTATTTTCTTCCAAACTGTATCTTGAGCTTATAATTAATATTAAACGTGTCATTTTCCTGCTTAGAAATCTCCATGCTTCCCTCACAGTCTATAAAATTATATCTGAATTCCTCAGTCTGATGCTATTCAAAATGTCTATCACCCCCTCAGTAAAACTGCTCTCATCTCTTTCTCCAGCCTATAGTTCTCAATTCTCCTTTCTGATGCCCTATGCTTTAACCCAGTGGTTCCCAACCTTTTTTTGGCCATGTTCCACCTAAGCATCTCTAAAATCCCGATTCCCCCTCCCCCCGGGACATATAATTCTTATTATTCAAAAAGTGAACTCATATTCATGTGGAGGAAGTTTAAAAGGCCATTAACTTGGTCTGAACAAGCTTCCAAAGAATATGGCATTCATGAAAGAGAAAAATAAAAGAAAGAAAGGACAGCTGAAGTACTGAGGAAGAAGTCACTAGGAAATTGTTAAAAAGAATAATAATAATAATATGAAGTGATATGAAAAGGTAGCAAATAAAGTCTCAAAACATATAATAGAGAACTGAAATGCATAAATATCTCACAATATGTATTTACATACTGTGTATGAGGCCCTAGAACCAAAAAATTCACTGTTAATAACTTATTCTCGAATTTCCCCCCTTCAAAATCAAATTACCCCCCTGTGGGACGTGTGCCCCATGTTGGGAACCACTGCTCTAACCCAATTACTGCACACATTGTTCTCCAAGCCCACCATGCACTAACAGCCTCTGTTCCTTTGTCCAGGCAATTCCTCTACCTAAAATGTTCCCTTCTTTTCATTTTTGCATGTTAAGATTCTACCAATTCTTCAAAATTCTTGCTCCTTCATGTAGCATTTCCTGCTATTCTCAACCCTATTAAATCTCTCTCATTTATAAATTGCATGGCATTTTAGTGTAGCTTTCTAGCATGAAGTCCTACTTAAAACTAATTATCATTACTAGTTGTAACACTAAGCATGATTCTTCATCTCTATAGTCATCAATTACCTCATTAGTAATAAATATATGTTTATAATGGAGTAATAAATATATGTTTGTTCATGTTTTAGTTTATTTAAGATACTAGAGGTCTGGTGCACAACATTCATGCACTGGGGTGGGGGGGTTCTCTCAGCCCAGCCTGCACCCTCTTGCAGGGAGTGGGCCTAAGCCCCAGTCAGACATCCCCTGAGGGGTCCTTAGTGCTGCCACAGAGGCGGGAGAGGCTCCCACCACCACTGCTGCCCTTGCTAGCATGAACCTGGCTTCTGGCTGAGCAGTGCTCCTCCTGTGGGAGCACACTGACCACCAGGGGGCA